ATTATACTCTATTAGAAAAATGGATGGTAGATATCATACTATATTAGAATATGGATGGTAGATATAATTTTAATTTTTTAAGCATTTCACCCCGAGCAAGGCGGGAAGCCACTACCACGCAAGGGGTTACAGAGGATATGGAGCGAGAGCAGATAGGAATGATAGAGGAAAGGATGAGGAGAAGGATAGTGGATAGATCAAGGCAATTGGAGATGTCTATTGACATTACATTTGAATAGTTGGAGATTAAAGCTATCAGGGAAACAGGAATAGGGAAAGGAGTTCCACAGGCAAGAGGTGCGAACATGAAGCTATTGGAGTAGAAGAGACGGCTACATTTAACAGTTTCATCAGTGAAAGGGTGTGAGCAGGATGTCAGCCTCATAGGACGCTCGAATTCGCGAAGTCTGGGAACCAGCGAAAACAGCTCATCGGAGCAGTTACCGTGAAAGTATTTGTAAAAAAAGACAGAGGGAGGCGACGGCGCGTCTGTGGGAGAGCGACTGTAGACGAGATGCCAGAACAGGGCCAATTATATTGCATATCCGCCTCTGGATCTTATTAAGAACCCCGAGGCAAACAGAAGGGGCTCCTGACCATATCTGGCAGCAATACTCCATGCAAGGGCGAATGGTTGATTTGTAGATTTGGAGGATCGATTCCGGAGAGAAAAATTTCCTGGCGCGGCACAGGGAGCCAACTTCCATTGCGGTGGACGAAGCAATTGACTCAATGTATTTGTTCCATCTCAGGTCAGTAGACAACGTGAGACCGACCAGCCGCAGAGAGGCGCTCGCGGGAAGTTGAGCGTAATGGGGGCAGGGAAGGATCTCTGTGGTACAGTAAAAAATGGATGGTAGATATCATACTATAGTACCACCCATTTTTGTATGCTCAATTTCATTCACAAGGTTTGGATTAACCCGTGGTATAATTTTTCAGGCATCTTATAACGTTGGCATCGCCTCCCCACGCCAATATCATCAAAGTCTCCTTCCTGACAAATCGACCATGTTGAGATTCAAACTCGGGACTCATAGTCTTGAATGCAGTCAAGTTTTCATGCCTTCCATTCCACAAACAGCAAGGAATTCAGATATTATCGTTATAGAACTTTCTTTTGAAGGAAAGTTATACAATATTTGTTTTGAAAGAAAGCCTACAGTTTTTAAGTGACTAATTTATAAAAGAATCTATAAAGGGTTTTTGTTTTTACGTTTGGTAAAATGTTTCTTTTTTATAATATATATATATATTTTATATAGGGCGGTTATATTAGGAAAAATATATAGGGCCGTTGTATTAGAAAAAAAACATATGGATGTTCGTTGTGAGGATTGATGTGCGTTCTGGTGTAATGGATATCGGCTCGGAGTGAGCCGAGTTCGAATTCCAGTTGGGTTCGTTAGAGTCACTTGCGCGCAAAAACTCTTGAAAAAGACACGAATCCATATATTTCCCCCCCAGCTATGGGTTCAATAGAAGAACAGCCTGGGTTCTTCAACCATGGTTATGAACCAGTCTACCGCAAAAAGAAATGCAACCTACTGTGGGGAAAAATCTGCCTCGTCAGTCATATATCAAAAGATACATGATCACCCAAGCGCGTATCACGTATGACAGTTAACTGATTGATTAGGAAAATGATCATTTTGTTAAGGATTTATACAGGTTACATATACTTAGCTACTGAGAAAATGTTTCTTTTATATATGTTATTTATATAAAAAATTATATAGGACCATTGTATTAGGAAAATGATCATTTTTGTAAAGTTCATACGTATATAAGGATTTATACAGGAAACATATTCTTAGATGTGTGGAAAAATGTTTTTTTTTTATCATAGCTTATTTATATAATGATTTATGACGTCACACATTATGAAATGGACAAAGTCCGACTTATTTTGAGAAACTTTTTATGTTCATACGTTCTTTTTGTAGATACAAATATTTAAGTAAACGTTCTGTTTATAATAAACAGTATTAACAACATTTACCGGTTTGAATGTCGGATAGAAAATATGCGTCCTCCGACAGGAATTGAACCTGTATTCTACACGGAACCGCCATATAGCCTGACGTGCTTTTACCGATTCAGCCACAGAGAATTGTAGTTTAAAAACAGTAAAATCGAACTTGCTAACTGAAACGCTCCTCTGTGGCTCAATCGGTAAAGGCACGTCAGGCTAAATGACAGTTCCGTATAGAATACAGGTTCGATCAGAGGACGCATATTTTCTATGAAATTTTCTCGGACATTCAGGCCAGTAAATGTTGTTAATACTGTTTATTATAAACAGAGCATTTATTTAAATATTTGTATCCATAAAAAGAACGTATAAACATTAAAATGTCTCAAAATAATGATTTATACACGTCGTTGTATTAGGAAACTGATCATTTTGGTAATGTGGCTTATATACAAGGTATGACAGAAAAATTGTCCAAATCGTATTACAGAATAATTGGTTATTTTACAAAATGTTTAATATGTAAAAAAAACCACTAAACTAATTGAGTTTCTTTTTTTTCCCTGGCGTTCAGATAAAACGTTTAGCCAACTTGATACCATTTGTCGTAAGAATCACTGAAAAACTATTTGAATTATTCAGCTAGAAAGAGAACAGGTTAAAATTATTTTGTGTCAGACCCACTGTCTTCTCAACTGAGCAATGGTGAGAGGAAAAAATCATTTAAGCCTTCAGTAATGTGCCAACATTCATACTTTGGCTTCAAAGTCCATTCAAGAGCCATCAAAAGAACGGTGAATATATTTACAAAAGAGGGAACAGTAGAGAGGAAAACTGGATCAGGAGGTCACAACAGGAAGAAGGATAAATTAGAAAAGATCCAACTCAATTCATAAGGCGTTTGACACGTAACAGAAGAGTTTCACCTACCACCATTAAAAGAACATTGACAAACGACTTGAAAATGAAATCTTACGTGAAACATGTGAGGCACCTTCTTACTCCAGGATAGAAAGTTAGAAGGTTAGAGAGAAAGAAGATCATCTTGAATAAGTTGTAAAATGATCCTGGAATATATATATATATATTTATTAAAGACATTTTTTTTATGTTTAACGTTGTTATTTTATAGATACAAGTATTTAAGCAAATGCTCTGTTTATGATAAACAGTATTAAATAACATTTACCGGCCTGAATGCCCGAGAAATTTTCATAGAAATTATACGTTCTTTGACAGGATTCGAACCTGCATCCTATACGGAACAAACATATATGCTGACGTGCCTTACCTCTAGGCTACAAAGAAGCGTTCGGTAGACAAGGTCGAATTTACTGTTTATAGCCTAGAAGGTAAGGCACGTCAGCGTATATGACGGTTCCGTATAGGATGCAGGTTCGAATCCTGTCAAAGAACGAATATTTTCTATGAAAATTTCTCGTTTTAGAGAACTATTTATCATAAACATTATTTGCTTAAATACTGTTATATAAAATAACAACGTTAAACATAAAAATGTCTTTAATA